AATTTTTTAAAGCACAAAATAATTCAAAAAATAAATACTCAGAAAAAAAAACAACTAAAAAATATATACGAAACCTAATTATACAGCCTATAAATCTTTAATCCAATCAAATTCTTATTATTATTTCTATACGTTACGTACTGACAAAAAAATATCCATTATAAAGATTAAAAAAGAAAAAGTAACCAAAATTATAGCTAAACCATTCTTAAGAAATGTTATACAGAAATACACGTTCAAAAAGAGGTAGAATGTTGGAAATCATCCTTTTTCACTTTTTTTCTCAGCTTGTTTTAGTGTGGCATACTGTCATCTAAATGATTTCTTTTTCTTTTTTCTTTTTTCTCTTTAAGAATTATCTCACTAATTTCTAAAAAATCAATTAATTGACTTCACTTTTTTCACGCTTTCATGGACTTACTTTAAATTGCATTGGATTTTCCTAAAGTACACACGAAGAACATTCACAGAATTTCTTATGCATTTTATACCTGAAAGCTAATGGACGTAGATCTTTACTGCAAACTCCAATTATGTGACCGTTTGCCCAAATAGCCTAGAAACCCGTTTCAAAACCACCTGCAACCATTGCATTAAAAATATTAGTTAGATGCAATTTATACTTTACTGTCATGTAAAAGTCATCATAAAGCATGAATGTACATCCCCAACAGTTACAGCTGCAGATTCTTAAAATTTCTATCAGGTTCTTACCGAACAGTTGTACATACAATATAAAAATAATAATAGTTGTCAACTTCTAGTCCTTAGTCCTAGCATCAGAGAATTTAAGGGGAACAATTGCTAATAAACAATTAAAGGAAAAAGATCAACAAAATAATTAAGCCAAAAAATCAACAATCCAATGATAAAGGGGTTTGGAATGTTCAAAAAGCAATAGATTAACAAAGTAAAAGAGGAGACTGACATAAAAGAGAGAGAGAATAAAATACCAAAATCGGAGGCAAAAGTTGATGTATTTTGTAGCTAGAGGAACCTACGTCTTTTCTGGGCTTATTGAATGAGTTGATGTATTAGTGTGTTACTTGCTAGAATTCAACAGAATGTGGGGGTTTGGCCAACAAAAAAACAAGAAAAAAAAAAAGACAGAAAAAGGGGATGAATGAACCATTACCTTGTTTTGTTGATTTTGTTTTCTATATACGAATTGCATGAGCGTAATCCCAGCACGTGTGCCACTACGACCCTTCCTCAAACTATTGATGGTTTAAAGTTTTCCACTAAACATCCACTAAATAGCAAAGTTGAAGGAACGAATTGAGAAACCTTAAGAAGCAAAGAATCAAAAATAATTAGAAGTCGTAGACGCAACTGGATGCTGAGTTATATAACTCTCCTGGGGGAAATTAGAGGAAGATCGTGATTGGAAGGTATTGGCTGTTGTCAGTCGAAGAAGGCACGACCACGACCACCGGTGTAGCGAAAAGAGAATGTAGAAGGTGGGTATTAGGGTAGACAACTGAAATTTGGGTTTCAAGGCCGATATCTGAAATAAAAAAATGGGCCTTTTGGAGCCGGGCCCTTCTCAATGTAGTGCAGTTATGGGTTTTGTTTGCAGAATTTGGCCCTTTAACAATGTATTGTTGGGCTTTAAAGAATCCTCACGATTGCATAAGGTAATTTAGTAGGTTCAATTTTTTAATTCTTTAAAGATTTAGGACAGAGACATGATTCACTTATGGTGAAATATCCTTTTTTTTTCCTCTATTATTATAAGGAAAAAGCTTTTTTTTTTTATCTTTGTACTAAAAAAGTTTCTTTTTTGATCCTTACTATTCACAAATCCG